AGCCAAACAATCAAGCTGGCTTGTTTTAACCCACCAAGCCAATCAAGCTAAGCTGAAGTAGAGGCACCCAACAATCAAGCCAAGCTGGGGTACCCAGCTTGCTTGGCTTGATTGTTGACAAGTCTGCCGAGTGCAAAAACGGTTACGGTGCTGTTCAGCTAACAACGTTCAGCTTTGCATACTTTGAGATGAGTTTGATCCTGGCGAAGATGCATTTCCAATGCGATTTGGAACTTGTTGATCCTACGTTAGATTGGTTGAAAGACAGCTGTTTGCATGTTATGTGGTGGAAGCCAGCACTATACATTAGGTTCAAGCCGGCAAAGCTGGAAGATAGAGTATAGGTCGTGGCCAACACACCCCACGGCTTCTTTTACAAAGGTTTTCATAATTGGGTATGTACAGTGTCGTGTCTTATTAGCAGTTTCCATCCCACAGCATTTTTCAGCACACACGCAGGGATTGTACTTGTACTCGAACGCTCATGAATCAAGTATAGGGGCACATAGTGTAAGCAGTACCTCATCCCGTAAGTGATGAGTATCTCGAAGATTGATCGCATGTAGAGGCTTGTCTCTAGTAGTCTCATTCTATATGCAGGATGCCAACCGTCTCGCTTAAGGCTCTATGTAATTCCTGGATCCTCACAATCACAGGCCTTAATCTGGCTTGGTGCTTGTCCCCTTGCGATGCTCGCGATTTGTCACTCAGAATCTTCGTCAATGCTGCCAATTGCTTGATCTGCAAGATAATCAGGAAACCGAAGATATCGCACCTCTCTTGCATAGTATCTATTCGATACCCATCTAACAAGAACACATCTTGGTTGTGAGTTTGAGCTTCATTTCTTCCCGATGAATCCTTCCAAGTCGAGGACGCAACAAGCAGAGTATCCTCCCAACTTCTTGAAATGTCTTCCAGTATTCCCATCCATTTCTCGAGAAGCAGAATGGAAAAGGTTGTGGCTCTTGAGTCATACCAGCAATTTCTACACTGGATCTTCGTTCCGCATTGCGCATAGGTGTTTTTCACAAGATATAACGATTGCTCTGCAGTACTGAGATCGTGCACCCTGGGTTGATTTTGAGCTTGCTCCAATGCCCGAAGGATAAGATCTATGCATCCGCATGGGGTTGGTCCTTGGACGTTCGAATCAGGCTTCGTAGTAGCGGTCTTACGACCTCGGCCGGATGGTTGCTCCGTTGGGATCAACCCAGGAGACCTTTCTCTCGACGCAGAGAGGAAGTGATCTCTACCCTTGGCAGTTGGCGGCGTGGTTTCCACCGGGAAAAGACATCGAGCGTTGACACTGACTGTCTGCTCGCCGAACGCGACGGAACTGATGTTCCAATCTGTTTCATCTGTCTGCAGTTAGTATTGCCTTGATTACTGCTTGAATGCATGACAGGATGACTTGATGAATAGGAGACAGGATGAGATGAACCTTACCTGCAAATGTCCCAGTGTTCATGCCATTGTCACCCACGGTAGCTCGAGTTCCGGGAGAGCCACTTGAGGACAAAGTGTCATCAGAACATGAGTCCGCAGTTACATCCAAAGTATCAAGGTCAAGGATTGGAAAGTCCGAATCGTAGGCTGATATATCCGATATGATTGAGTCCAAGAAGGTGAGATCGGAAGAAGTAGAAGGCGTTATAACGGTTACTGTGTTCGAAGGCACATCAGAACGTACTCTGCAGCCTTCTTGGCCCACTGGATCGCTTTCCTGAGACCCCGAGTCAGAATCAGGGGGGGTGATGGTGATAGTTCTGCTAGAGTTGTCATGCTCCGACGCTGTCTTTGACGCAAACTCCTTCTGGAAAATGATTGCACCGTGGTTTTTAGGAACGCCCTCTTGTCTCTGCGAACTGACTTTATTACTCGTCTTTGCTACGGCAATCGATCGACACAAGGAGATCCTTCTTTTTCTCTGCCGTTGCGCCTGAGGAGAAGCAGCATATGTGCAAGTGACGTTGAGATCTCGGCACCGATCACAACCAAATCTGTGGGCGGAGCATTTTAACTGGACCGCCAAAATCAACTGTAAGTCATCTCCTCATTGTACTGCCTGTAATTGGCAAATCATAGTATGCTCAGGGTCGACTTACCTTCTTTGCACGACATCTATCGCAAGCAAAATGGTGGAGTTGACTACCAGACAGGGGTGGTAAACTCGTATTCGATATGCAAACAATTTCGCCATCTCGTGCTTCTTTTCGAAAAGTGGCAAACATGACCTAGTGACTACGTGGAAGAAATGGTCAAGAGTTTTTCGAGGTGCGTATTCGCTCAATGTCATTCGGGTGATAACAATCTCACAGAAAGGCCATCTTTACATCGCTCATCTCTTGTAACATCCACGGAGGTTCCGGAAATTAACAACACACCGCTTTCGATAAGCGGTGTATTAGCGCGACACTATTTTGTAAGATCTAAAACAAGCGCTTAGCCGTATTCTGAATTCATACACAGACTAAGGACTTAGACCCTGCTGACCGGGTAGCCAAGACCCGTGCGGGCGTCGCTCGGCGCTACCTTGAATACCTCACCAGCTCTGCATTCTGCTTCTGTTTCCTTACGCAACGTCTTGTGATCCATTAGATATCCTATATAGTCACAATGATCACTTCCAATAAGCACTCGAGACGTGCTCGTAGCATCTCGCGACACATACTGTTAACCTGACACTGATCTTCGCTCATGTGTGTTCAAGCCCGGTGCTGAAGTAGAAATCGGACCGCTATCCCAAACGGCCCTTCCACTGCGTAAGCTTTACCCTTCGCATCTTGCGACTACTTCGAGCATTCCTCCATGCATCTCTATTCGACGAAGGGAGATAGCCGTACGTTTTGATGACTAGTATGGGCTCGCTCAATACAGCATGCATGTAGCAACATTCTAAGCGGGCGCAAACATAGAAAGTCGCAAAGCAAAGTCCTATGCTTTTGTCAAGCACGGGAACAAAACGAGAATGCTCAATCTACTCAAATGACTATGATCAAGCAATCTGTTGCAATAAGCCTCATGTGTGCTAATATCGTCGAAGTCATTTCGCAATTATATGCTTCCTAAGACCTGTCGGACCTACTGTCTGACCCCATATTCAACATACCACGTAGACCAAGCTTGAATGGAATCGTAGTGGAGAGATCATGAACGTACACTAGCGTTGAAGCCGACGGTAGTAAACTTAGAATGGAATGAGGCGAAGCAAGGGTCTAGACCTCTCTGAGGATCCATGAAATCTACCGAAGTCATACCGGACGAGTCTAGTTTTGTGTCGGAGAAAAGCTGATCTAGGTCGACGTTTGTAGCGGTCGAATTGCGGCTATGTCAAAAATGGAATCCTTCCGGCTGATGGAGCGCAACAGTGAAGTATCTCGTGAGCGCAATCGTGGAGTAATCATATCAACGAAGTTGCGAACAAACGACAGATATGGCCAGCCCCGATGTACTGAGCGACACCACCAAGAAAGATGTAGCGCTTGGTGTCATATCCCTACAGTCATTAATCAACGGAGACTCAAGCACAGAAGCCATGTTGTTGAAAGCATGCACCGATTTAGGATTTTTCTATCTTGACTGCGTGGACGTGTGCTCCGGGAGGATCATGGAGGATGTTCAGGCAATGTATTCCCTGGCTACGAATTTCTATGACTTGCCACAAGAAGTGAAGTCTGAGTGGCTGGTGGATAGAGATCATGACGAGCATTTGGTCATGGGGTAAGACTAGAGGACTGCGAAGCCCCTGTACAGAAGTTTGAGGAGCTGACGTGTTGTTTTTGATCAATTAGGTATAAGCCTGCAGGTCACGGGAATGGTCCTATCGAAGGTGTCAAGGACGGTTTTGAGGGACTAATGGTAATGTCGCGAGGACTATTGCACCTTCACATGCTGACATGAATATCGTAGCTTTTTGAGCATCCCATCTCCAAGATAGATGATCCTGCATCATTTCCAGGTCCTGAGGTTATTGCTCACCAGCTCGACCCACTCAAAAAGGCGATCGCGACCTTCCGTGGTATCAGCGTTTTACTTTTGGAAAGAATCCCTGCAGCGTTAGACTTGGACCCGTCAAAAGCTTTCCAGAGATATCATCGCGAAGGCGCTGTCTGTCCAACAGCTCTTGGTCTGCTGAAGTACACAATTGCTGAGGAAGAGCCCGAGAAGATCGGCCAAATCGCGCACACAGATGCCGGTAGCCTTTCAATTGTGTTCACAGAGGTTGCCGGTCTCCAGGTTTTGAAACCAGAGGAAGATGACTGGTTTTACATCGCTCCAAAGCCTGGGCACGCTGTTGTAAATGTTGGCGATGCGCTCCGCTTCATCTCAGGTGGAGTTCTGCAGTCCAGTCTCCATCGCATTATTCCACACAAAGACGAAAGATTTCGGCACAAGTACTCGATCGTATACTTACTGAGACCGGAGATGGATGCCGAATTTATCGATGGTGAAGGGCGAATGTGGAAAGGCTTAGACTGGTAAGGTGTGCCATTGTTGTACTGATTCAGACTCTGACACGAGATTTAGGACAAACAAAAAGCATGCTGTATTTCGTGCGCCAGCAGAAGAACAAGCTCAGGGAACTTATCTTACCGGCAGGGATGGGTATGTTGGATACTGGGATCCGGAGAAGGATCAGGAAAATGAGGTAGTTTAGGAACTTTGTCTTTTGCCAGAATCTCATATTAGGATAGACCATTCAGTACAAAATTTTGTTGAATTCATCGTTATCTAACTCTTATCGGCACGGGACACGATTGCAACCCTCATCTCTGGCTTCTGCCATAGTGTATGCATCTCAGATTGTGCATGCCAGTCTAACTGAGGGTCCAGCAACTTCAAATCATACTTGAAGTATAACTTTGCTAGGATAGTTCTGAGTTCCAACCAAGCAAGACTAGAAATAAGCTGTTAGTGATCAAAAGGAAGATGAAGAGTCAGAAAGCTAGCTACGTACCTTTTCCCCAAGCAACTTCGTGTGCCCAACGAAAATGGCTGGCTTGCTCCCAGAGTATCCTCTCCGTCTTTTCTCAACCATCGTTCTGGGTCGAACTTCCACGGGTTGAGAAAATTCTGAGACGACATTGAAGCCGCGAATGGGTTTGTAGAGACGATGGTCTGCGGCACCTTATAATTAGCAGGAATGCTTAAGAAAATGGCTGTATCTACTGCTTCAAGCTTACTTACACCCTCTGGAATGAAATGTCCGTCAACTACATCACCCCCTTGAGGAACAACTCTTGGGAGAGGAAAAGGCAGTGGCGGATATACTCTCATCCCTTCAAGTATGACTGCGTTCAAGCATGGCAGACTTGTTGTCGATGTTCCATTAATCTCCTGGTAAGAGTTGAAAGCCTCACGGATTTCCGTCTGCAACCTCAATCCTATCTCTGGGAACTTTAGTAAATGATAGGTTATACAAGCCAAAGCTGTTGCAGTCGTCTCGCTTCCTGCGATACTGTTTCTCGTTAGTCTCAATGGACCAAAAAGGGACAAGACTTACACAAAATCTGAGGCATGTGCTGCTAACTGAACATCTGAAATGCCGTCGTTGTCGCGACCTTGCAGCATTTTAGTCAAAAAGTCTTTTCGCGTACTGTTTTGTTCGATCCTCCTGATATGCATAAGCTATGAGACGTGATAAACGGGACTCTGAAACCCTTACCTTCTGATCAGGTCCATTGCATATTGCTCATGCTTACGAGTGTCTTTGATGAGCTGCTTTAGCAGTCCTGAGAAGGCTGTCTGGGCAAAGTATCCTATCCAAGGAAATCGCTTGAAAGTGTCGGCTAGTGCGCCCAGTCTTAGGCTTTTCACAATGATGGACACCCAGAAATGCTCAGACCCTAGCACCATTTCAGTCAAACACCGTACGATGTCCCAGGTCATTCAGAGGAGAGCTTACCAGAACTGATACCACCGAAAGACTCACCAAATGCTAAGCTTCCAATGATATCGAAAGTGGCAAGGTTGAACCACATGACGATATCTATACCGTCAATCGAGGATCCTTTCTCCCCGATTATGGTGATGAATTGGTCGATGATGTCGCTAATGAGACTCTCTTGCTCTCTCAAATATTGGTCTGAGAAGACACCACGCAGGTAGCTTCTCATTTTGTCATGCTTATGTGGATCACGCTCGCTGACAATGGAATGAGCTTCTGCGGCAAAATTCCCGCCATCATAGAAGTCGCTTTTAATGAACGTCTTATGACCAGCCCTTTTTGCATAAATATCTTTCCATGACTTGTGCGTATTGAAAGACAGCTCATTTGGGGCGACTCTCACAACTGGGCCGTGTTGTTGGTGGAGCTTATGGATCTCGTATGGTTGTCGTCCGCCCAGAAACATGCGACAATGTGAGAACTACAACACTGGTTACACGTGTACCTTGAACACTGCGTGGACGAAGTACGTTACTAAATTTGGCCGTCCATGGGCCTGGAAATCGGGACAGTGGATGCCTTCGAAGTTGGGAAAGCTTTACAAACAACCCAAAGATACACGTCTAACCGCGCATTAGCAGTTCGCCTTGCTAGACATGCCAGATGAATCTCACTATCGCGATAAGTGAACTGATCTTCAATACGGGGAGGCAAGCGTCATTGCAGATATCGAACGATAGAGAGGGCCACGGATTGGTAGGTATTGTCATGACGTTCATGGTAAAGCAAGGATCACGAAGCGTCCTGGATAGATATTTGGTCGAAAATGTTGGTGTTAAATGCTAGAGGATTCATGCGCAGTTCCAAAAGAGGTAAGACTCCGAGACCAATCGGCTACCTTGCGGGGCTTATGTCAACAGATAGTGTAACAGCGGCAAGATCTATATACGAAACTATAAAGAATAAACCATTTGTTATGAATAACTAGGTTCTCATTATTTGGAAAGAACAAGATTGTGACCGGAATAACAGAGTGGAAATCAATGACGTCGCTTAAGATCGAAGAAGAGGACATACCTCAGCTTGAGGGAACAGTCGCTATCATCTCAGGTGGGTAATTCCAGTGAAAGTCATAGATGAGTAAATCCTGACGCTGGTAGGAAGGCGCTTCGAGTGGAATCGGCCTCGCTACAGCGAAACTGTTGGCAACAAAGGGCGCGACAGTTTACAACCTTGATATCGACAAACCGGAGGAGACAATTCTTAGAGTTACATACGTAAGATGTGACATATCCAGTTGGACAGATCTACTTGCTGCATTCGCGACTACAGGAGCACCACACATTGCTGTCGCTAATGCAGGCATCGATGAAGATGGAACATACATAACCGATTCTTACGACGACTATGGCAATCTACTCGAACCGTCGTATAAAGTCATTGACGTCAATCTCCGAGGAACCCTCAACTTCATCAAAGTATCTCTCCATTTGATGAAAAAGAATGCAATTGCTGGTAGCATTGTCATCACTTCGAGTGCAACTGCTTATCTGCCCGAACAGACGCTGCCAGTATACAGTGGAACAAAAGCAGCTGTAAGTGAAGCGAGCATTTGCAAACACAAAGAAGACTTGAATGCTGAAACATTGGCCCTGCAGTTGATCAACTATATGCGCGCGATGCGATCGCTCATTCGCGATTCCAACATCACGATTAATGCCGTTGTCCCAGCAGCGACTATTACAAAACTACTACCGATGGACTTAGCCGGCCCGATACTAGCTGCAGGACTACCCGTTAGCACAGCAGAATTTGTTGCGTTAGCAGTCGCATACTCTGCTGTTGCGCAAGAGTCACGTAAAGTGCAAGGTTATGGGAAGGATGGATGTGAATGGATACAGCGACCTGGAAGGTGGAACGGAAGGACCATTCTCACTTTGGGGGACTCTTTTACCGAGCTTGAAGAGGACTTGAGTGAGTGTCGAGGTGTTTGGTTCGGACATAAAAATCTGGAGAAGACCAAGATGCAGCAAGCCGCTACAGATTTTCGTGACGTGCCACGGGGATAATTTTAAGTTGGAATCATCGCTTCAAGAGAAATCTTTTTAACTCTCAAACGATTAACGTTACCTGACACCGATTAAGACATCCAGAAAAGAAAGGTGGCGCGTCGATGTACGAATCTGGGACTTCTTAAAACGGCAAAGCGCCTCGCAGCACTTCCTATTGAGGTTAGCGGACCCCCAAATGAAGGCCCTCGATCTCTAAACTACTTATGCACCACTTTCGTTGCTGTTCGATATGTCCCTACTCGATATAGTACAGCCCTATTCCTTTCCTTTTTTGCGGAAATGACCATACACAACGCCACGATCCCGTCGTCCACCGCGGCATTTGTAAGAAACGAGGTCCCGCAGACAATCTTCCGAGCCCAAATCCACAAAAACGAGCAAGAAGTGACGGCCGAAGTTAATGACTATTTCCTAAAGCACTGGCCATTTGAGAATGAAAAAGCAAGGATGAAGTTCGTTGCTGTGGGATTTTCGCGTGTGACATGCTACTACTTTCCACTAGCATTGGACGATAGGATAGCTCTTGCCTGTCGCTTGATCACCCTGCTGTTCCTCATCGATGGTATGTAGAGCTCTACCTTGCACCACGACGTTGCTCAATCAGGGACACTGATATGTAGAGTGATCGCAGACCAGCTCGAGTTCATGTCATTAGAAGAAGGGTCCGCGTACAACGAACGTCTGATCGCCATTTCACGAGGAACAACGCGACCAGATCATAGTGTTCCTGTGGAATGGATTACATATGACTTGTGGAACGACATGCGCGCCTGCGATATTGAGCTAGCGGACGATATGAAAGAGCCGGTCTTCACATTCATGAGAGCGCAGGTTGATACGAAGCGCCTGTGTGTAAAAGCCTTAGGAGAATATCTGGAATATAGAGAGAGAGACGTGGGTCAAGGGTAAGTCAGTGCTTGCCACTTCAAGGTCTCATCGTTTTGAGCATTACTAATGTTCGCAGGTTGCTCTCTGGTCTGATTCGATTCACAATGAGATTGAGACTTGACCAACAAGATTTGTATTCCATCAAGGAAATAGAAACAAACTGCTCAAAACACATCTCGGTTGTGAACGATATCTACAGTTGGGACAAGGAGCTGAAAGCATCCAAAGTCGGGCACAAAGAAGGTGCTGTGCTCTGCTCCGCCGTGTCTGTGCTATCGGCAGAGATGGCGCTGAGCATACCGTCAACGAAGAGAGTCCTGTGGGTCATGTGCCGGGAATGGGAATTGCAACACAAGCAACTTGTTGTGAACAGGCTGGCCTCTGGCCAATCTTGTAGCTATGACTTGCAGATGTTTATGAAAGGTCTAGAATTTCAAATGAGTGGGAATGAAGTGTGGAGCTCGACGACTTCGAGGTACCATCCTGTACAGATGTAGTCTTTACTAGATTCTGAGCATTTGATAGTACACAATACCATAGAACAATTGACTACTTATTATGCACGCCTCCTACGGTGCCTGAACAACTTACTACTTTAAAGTCAGATAGCCATCTAGTGAGAGGATGCAGTCAAGCGTGAGCCCTGAATCGTTACATCACATTACAACAACGGCGGATGATAACAAGCATAGAACCTTGCAGCTTTGTTTCAAAAAGCGTCGAACTAAGTACATAGCAAAAACAATTAAATCTGACCTTGTGTGATACATATGCTCTGTTCACTATCAAGTCTCAACAGCCTGTTGCCGCCCAGGTGGATGATTCGTCTTCGAAACCAAGACATCCGTATCGTTATAATCAGCCAAATCACCAATCAGGACTTCGTCCTTTGCATGAATTTCCAATTTCTGTATCAACTTCTCATCAAAGGCATTGACAAGATCTTCAGGTAATTTTGCCAAAGCTTGATCGAGATCGTCAATGATGTCTTGGACATCTTCAATGCCGACCGAGAAACGAATGAAAGCCTGTCAAGAATGTATGTATCAGTTGGTGTCTTTCCTGTAGTATATCAAGGAACAGAAACTTACGGGAGTGATTCCAGCTTCGCGTCTATCTTTCTCTGACATGATCACATGGGTCGAATTCCATGGGTGGGTTGCCAGCGTTTTAGCATCGCCAACACTGTGTTGTATCAGCGCAGAACCTGGGGTTTGACTATATAGAACTTACTTGGTTTGATGCGAAACGACCTTGACGTAATTCATGAGCATTTTGCTCGCCACTTCACCTCCCTTAGGCCCAAACGCCAGAACGCCACCAAAGCCGTTTTTGAGATATCGCTTTGCGTTCTCATGATAGATGTTGCCTTCCAAGCCTAAATACGATGTAAGTCATTTGTCGTGCCGCGATTAGTCAAAAGTAGGACCATGGCTTACCAGGATAATTCACCCAAGCAATTCTAGGATGCGCCTGCAAGAACTTTGCAACCTGCATCGTGTTTCTCGCATGTCTCTCGCACCTTATACTCAACGTTTCCATGCCTATCAACAACTGCTGCGCCGATGCTGGGGCCAGCATGGATCCTACTTCCATCAAAATATCGATTCGCATTGCCATGGCGAAACAAATATTGCCGAAAGATTTCCAGTAGGAGAAACTCATCGGCCCGTCTTTGTTTGAGAGGCGAGGAAAGCGGTCAATAGCTTTACCCCAGTCAAATGTACCGCAATCAATGATCACGCCTCCTAATGTGGTTCCATGACCGCCCATCCACTTGGTTGCGGAATGGACAATGATATTCGCACCGAAGTCGATCGGTCGACACCATGTCCCACATGCACCAAAAGTGTTATCCACTACGAAGGGAATATTGTTCTCATGCGCAAGATCTCCCAAGTCCTGAAGGTCGGGAATGCTACATCGTGGGTTCCCAATGGTTTCGACGAAGATCATCTTCGTCTTGTCATCGATGTACTGTTCGAACTCTTCTCTTGTCTCGCGCTTCGCCCATTTGACTGTGATGCCGAGTCGTGGTAGCAACGTCTTGAATAGGCTGTAGGTTCCTCCATACAAGTTGATTGAAGCAATAATATTGTCGCCTGCTCCTGCGAGACAAATGATCGTGTTGAAGATTGCTGCTTGACCTGAGGATGTGGCGACAGCCGCTGTACCACCTTCGAGAGCGGCTGCGCGCTTTTCGAAGACTGCAACTGTTGGCTGTGTGCTAGATTTAGTGTCTGTTTCTGCTCCGAATCCATGTCGGCGCTTACGTTGGAGATTCGACTGTAGAAGTATCCACCCTCTTCGGTTGAGCAAATCCTCTTAGCATGATTGCTATCAGTGAAAACGAAGGACTTGCACTCGTGTCAGCCTTTCGTACTCTACAAGGGACTAGAAAATTAAACGTCGTACATACCACGCTGTTATAAATGGGTACTGCCCGAGCATGGGTCTCCTTATCGGGCCGATGTCCTCCATGAATCTGAAGGGTATCGTATCTCAGGCCGTCGTCAAACTTATCAATCTTGTACGGTTGCAAAGGATCATGGTTCTCCGGCAGCTGAGACAAGGTGATACCGTTTGGATCGGGTATTTTGTGGCTGTTGTTTGTGCCGTTGACCGTTGAGCTATCTGTACGGCTCGTTCCGCTCGCGGCTGCAACATTGTTCTCGTCTTCAATCCCTGGTGCCATTTTTCGTATAGAAGCAAATGATAGTGAACAAAAAGTCTTGACGAGATGAAAGGCATGCTATAGGTATCACAGTAGATGGTGCTGCTAAAGAAGCCAAGACGAAACTAAACCCGGGGTCCTTCCTTATTCGGTAAAAGGACTGGGTTTAATCCACTTATGGTATCACCCCGAGCCAACCATTGGGACTCCACATCAAGTACCTGTCAATCACGACTCGAATCGTGATCATACAACACAAAACTACGTCCTCGGGTTAACGGGAAAAATTGGCCAAGAATAATGCAGTTTGCAACATACGCTGCAAGCCTTCAAGCCAGCATCAACCTTCGATTGCTTCAACACCACTTGAGTCATGTGTTCGCATACTGTTGTTCTCTCACCATATTTCTCTACATTCTGAGAGGGTTTTTCAAAAGACCAAGGCAAAAGTTGATCGCGGGTATCCCTGTCGTAGGAGGCAATGATGTCAAAAGTATCCAACTCAACCGTGAGAGATTTCGAACGCAAGCGAAGGAAATGCTATTAGAAGGCTACAAGGAGGTACAAGTGATTCCAAATTCACCAATACGTCGCACCGCATCCTAACATCAGTCTTAGACGGGTGGAGGTTTCTTCTACGTCCCGAGCCCACTTGGTGAACGACTCATGATCCCATCGAAATATCTCGAGGAGCTAAAGTCTGCACCAATTGATCACGTAGATTTCGTCGCTACGTTTATTGAAGTACGAGAGTCTTTGCATTATCCCTTGCTATGATGCTTGACACTAAATCTATCCGATAGATGTTTGAAGGCAGATACACCACGATGGGAAGCCGCTCAACTCTTCACCCACGCGTTGTTAAAGCGCAATTGAACCACCATCTCGCGGACGTCATGCCTGCCGTCCAACAGGAAATCTTTGACTCAGTGAAGGACAACTTTCCTTTGTGTGACGGTAAGTGTACCTATCCGCTGTTTCAACGAACGCTCAGAAGTTGACATATGCACCAGACTGGACACCAATATCTGTCGTCTCAACCCTAACCCAGATCGTTGCGCGCGTCTCCTCTGCCATGTTCGGCGGAACTACACTTTCGCACAACAAGCCTTGGGTTGCCGCAAGCATCGCCTTCGCCATCGACGGCTTCATCGGGGCGCAGAAACTGAAGAAGTACCCCGTGTTCATGAAACCCCTAGTTGCACCTTTTATCCCAGAGCTTAGAAATATAGCCAAGCATTACAAAGCCGCTGAAGAGGCTGCAATACCTCTGATAGAGAGCAGGAGGAAGAGGCAAGATGAAGCGATGGATTTATTATATTGGATGGATGAACAAGCCAAGGGTGAAGAGAAGGATTTGAAGTTCCTCGCGGGAATACTGTTGAAAATTTCCTTTGCAGCTATCCACACATCTGCTGCAGCTCCAGCACAACTGCTCTTCGATCTATGCGAAAGACCATACATTATCCACGAACTGCGCAAGGAAATTGCCAGTGTAATGGACAAAGATGGAATGATATCAAAAGCAGGGTTCCTGGAGATGGTCAAGATGGATAGTTGGATGAAAGAAGCCCAACGCTTCAATCCGCTTCTGCTCATCACTTTCGAACGCGTAGTCCATAGGCCGTTTACACTGTCCTCGGGTCTCATCATTCCCGCACACACTACAATCGGCATTCCGACACAAGCTATCACCATGGACCCAGCTCTCTATCCTGATCCGGAGACATATGATCCATGGCGCTTCTCCAAGCTACGAGAAGAGAGTGTGGAAAACGAGGGCAAGGCACAATATGTAGCATCGAATCCTGCGAGTATGAGCTTTGGATATGGAAGGCATGCGTGTCCTGGAAGATTCTTTGCAACGCAGGAGATCAAGGCGATCATGGCGCACATCATCATGGGCTATGATGTTAGATTTTCAGAGGGGCAGACGAGGCCGAATAGTCTCTGTGTTGAGACGCAGTATTTGCCGAGTCCGGAGGCAACAGTAGAGTTTAGGAAAAGGTGAAAACAGATGACTAGTAGTAAGAAGTTATACAACAGAGTTGGAGCTGGAGTTCAATATGAAGACAATAAACTTAATTAGATTCCAATACTCTCTGTAATAGAGATACTTAGATACCCCATACAGGAGATACCTTGGTTTATGTTCCTACTTTCTTGTGTATCTCGAGGTTATGTACCTGACCAAGGCGAACGCGCGGCACGTTGTTACTAGATCGCTCCTTAAGACCACGATCTTTGCTTGTAGTCTTTGCATAGGCTGCATTCATGATGCGGCACTTTTCGCTATCGGTCTTTCCCATGTCATCCTTGCTAGTTTGATCTGCTTTCTTCACGCTCCGTACGGATGACCGTGATATAAGTCAGCGCCATGAGCGAAGAGCGACTTGGAGACGTCGACCTACCCGTTTGACTGCCTTGAACCCAAATGTGTTCTGTCATTGGTTATTGCTTAGACCAGAGTTATTCAGAGGCGGTAGAACGTACCAACGCCATGCTGATCGGTTAGATACCGGAAGTGTAGACTTGCATTCAGCTGCGTGATTTAGAGCAAGACTAGAAGAGATTGCTGAACAGCTATTTTTCGATATGAAGGCCAAGTAGGGAAATCCCTATGGCGGCGCAGGGTCACAAAGAATGAGAAAGTAAATGTGAATATAGCACTAGAGATAAGGTGAATGGCAAGAGGTAGAGAGGGCCCGCGCAAGATACAATCATGATGTACTGAGTAAAATGAACACCGATTGTCTCAACTTTCGCTACTACTATGATCACCTCATAGTTCGTTGAAGCTTGATCCATCAAGCAACAAGTACGCCACCGATGGTGTGCCTCCCACGCGCCAATCTGATCTCTCCATCTCGCCACCATTTAGTCGCAGTAGTATCCAAAGCTGCGATACTGCTCGAACCCATTCCCATTCCAAAAGCAGTTTGCGCTATCAGTAGGAATCCGGAGCTTGCTGCCATCATTCGGTGACTGGTTGACGCCCGTGTAAAGCGTAAGGTGACATCCCGCGGACGTTTGCAGAATCTGAATAGCTCCGCGGGGTCCTTGCAAGTTCGTCAGTAAATGTAGTCACACTTTGAGCGTTGCGTTTCACCTGGAAAGTTTCCCTTCACCGTTGCGGGGTTGAGGTCGTAGTTCTCCTCGAATCCTTGGCAGTTGACGTGGTCGAATGCGTTGAAGCGAATCCGGCCGTTTGCAGCTACGAGAGGGAGCAGGGGGAGAAGGGCGTAAAAGAGCTGCATTGTGCTTGTTGGTGGTAGCTTGGAGCGCGATTGTCTTGTAAGTGACAGTTGGCAGTAGGTAGAAGTGAATTGGGAAGATTTGATACAACTCGATGCGTGGTTTTTGTGAGCGAGAGAGACCGACTTTTATATCAGGGCTGTATACGTGTACGTACGTTGGTAGCCACACCAGCATTCTACCTACATTTCATAGTATGCATTAGCAATACGACACCAGTTAACGTTTACCACATCTGGTACAGCAAGGAGCTGGAAATATTGTACTACTCAAGAACCGATGTTAGGTCTTACTGGAAAGGCCACAAGACACCAATTACATGCGAATGTAATAAATTAAATATCAGCATGAGCATCTATTACTCATGCTCCGTGTTGTACAGGGCATACAGGTGGAAGCATGGTATGTCCAGATATAGTCCGCGGGTAAGCAATGCGGGATCAGTAAGCCGGCCCGACCCACAAGACCTAACGCTATGCGACGTGGGATAAAACGCACGATGCAGTAGAAAAATCTCATGTGTTCTCGTATATGCAATGGGAAGGTCAGCCTCTAGCACGCTTTTTCTAGCGCACGAGTAGAGTTCTAGGACCTTCCTTAGAAAGGACGGCCTACTCCTCCTCGGTCACAAAAGCTTATGCAACTAGAAATTTTACAGCATCCGCTTCGCCACGCGGTCTTCGAGCGATGATTGCGCTGTGACGCCTATGTAGTTCTGCTCTGCAATATGTCCTTCGGATGGAACCCCTTCCGCCCGCGAATATGTAACGTCCACGAGGCCGTCACCGTGAACTTCGCCCGACTGCAGCAGGTGTTCGCTAGCTCGGTGGTGTATCCTTTACTTCCACTGACTGACTGGATGCGACTTCGCTCATGCCAAAATATCCAGCTCGTGTCCTGCTTGAGCCGTCGCAAAGGTGAACCGGCTGAGCGAAGACATGTGGGCGTCGAAGCAATCGAATCAACCAGGAAGCCGAACGGGAATCGCTATAGGTCTCGTTGTGAGCCATGAAGAATCCTGGGCTCGCATTGCGACCGAGCTAAAGGTTTCCGCCAGCGCAAGGGGACTCTGTGACTCCTTCCCATTCTATGGACATCGTCCTGGCGCGTATCCCTATACACTATGATGCCCCATCGCATCCACTCCTCGGATTGTGCAATCAGACCGCTCCCAGAAAGGGCTATTAACCGCTTATCTTGTCCGACCGTTATTGCTTAAGCGCGTCATGGGGCCGTTGATATGTCGGTGGTGCGCGGCCGCGGTTTATGTGCGTGTAAAAGGAGCAGGGTAGAGAACGATGAGATGGTTGACTATCACAGTCGGAAGAATGTGCCTATGAAGGCTAAAGGCTTAGTATGAAACTTGTCAAAGGTGTTGAAGCTCGATGAATACTCACCTCAATGGGCCGGGAATACGTGCAGCATCTCGTGCCTGCCCGATCACAGCTACTCACTGAAAACCTCACATTACCTTCATACGAAGGATCTGCTATTAAGTCTGTGTATGGCAAAACGGTAAAAAGTACGATGGTGCGTGACGCTCGCGTGGCTGTCTCGTGGTTTAACGCGTTGCGGGGACGCGTCGCGCAATGCTGAATGACGTCGGTACCAACACGGGCGATACTGCACTCGCGGGCTGCTGCTGGGCCATTATCACCGGGCTAAGAGCAACACAATAAATGGTATCTGATATCCGGACGAGTCGAACCTGACTGGATTGGTATTACGGTACCCAAAGCTTGATCCATCTGTGGGGAAGCGAGCAGGCGGCTTGGCAGGGTCTACTGGCGCCTGCTCTTGCGCTGACCCCCCTCACAGCGTCACGAAAGCCAGCACAGGCCAGAGCCCGCCCTCATCACACCACACATCTGAGATTGACAATGTGGTCAATCTTGGAGGCGTTACCGTGAGATCGCACTGCAAGGACGCTCAGAACACCGCAACCAACATCACTAGGAAGTGTGTGTGTGAAATTCATGACAGCCCAAAATTCCAGGACTTTCTCGCAAATCAATCTACAACCTCTCCTGCACCTACAAGCTTCCAACAAGCCTCACCATGGGACGTACCATCACAATTGTATTAAGATGTCACACAACCATGTCTCGCTTTGATGACTTGTATAGGTCGTACACCAACTAGCAGGCGTCAAATTATCTTCATCTTTTAAGTCTTGTCCCCGTGTCTCTATTCCTTCAAATCTTGCTCGATGACATGAAGCTTGACAGCATCTATCGGCCGATGACTAGCAAAGAAATCATCATACAACAGATCGTATTCACTCAATTCATTCCCTTTCAAGTGCTTGAACCTTCGGAAGATAGACCCCAAGGTCACGTACATTTCACAAAGAGCAAGCCTATAGCAATCAGCTTTGTCCTGAAGAGATCAGTTGCAGCAGCGAAAAACTTACGGCATCCCAACACACATCCTACTCCCCTTTCCAAACGGAACAAACGCCTTCCACATCTTTTGCTTGTCGCTGGTTAGCGCCCACCGTTCGGGAATGAACTCGTGTGCATGGGGAAAGTAGTCCTCGTTGCGATGCAGGACCCAAGAGGACATAGAAACAGTGAAGCCGGCAGGAATCATGTAGCCCTCAAAACTGGCGCCGCCTTCCGGGACGATGCGCGGCAGGCGGGAAATGACGCCGAAGGAGAGGCGGAGGGATTCGTTCACGACGCCAGACAGATAGGGCAGGCGTTCCAAAACGGCAAGTTCCATCTTGGCGTCCGGATCTGGAAACGCGGTCTCTAGTTCTGCCGTGAGCTTTGCGTAGATCTTAGGATTCTTGATCACCTCGTATACTCCTGTCGTCAACCCATTGCCCGTTGTATCTGCTGCTGCTGCTAAGATACCGTATGTTTCGTACTTGATCTGATCTGGAGTTGGTGGGACCCAGCCTTCTTCGGGGTTTGGCGTCAGCAGTTCGTAGAAAATTGTTTTGGAGGTGTCCTTGCTAACTCGGCCTGCATCGATATCGGCTTTGGTGACAAGGATTTGTTGTTTGGCTTGCTATAATCCCTGTCAGATAATGAATCTCCAGGAGAGATTTGGGGGAGTGTAGCTTGAAGGAAAGACATACTTCTTGCAGGTCTAGGATGTGCGCAAGAGGCGGGCTCATCTTTTTCAACATCCATTGGGGAAGGCGGGTCATGATGCTCAGCTCCGGCCATTGCTGGAAAACCCAGAGCGCAGGGCCAATGCCTCTGACCAGCTCGAAGAAGTGAGTGCCTAGATCCGGGGCGTCGAGAAGAGCATAGGACTTATTGAACATATACTGAGTGATTACATCAACCGACAAAGCGCGGCATCCATGATGGATATCCAGCATTTCCCCCGTCTTTGAATTCCTCGTTATCAGATCACATAGCTTGTCGGCCTTCTCTTTCACGATATTCTGCAATTCCAGCACTGCGGCCCGCGAAAAAAATTTGTTCAGCGGTGCGCGACGGAGACGATGCAGCTCGTTAGGGCAGGAGGTGAAGGAAGCATATTCCATGCCGAATGCATCATAGTATCTTGGGTCCTTTGAGTATTTCGACCCTACGTAGTATATCGCCTCGTAGTTCTCCGGGTTGCTCAAGGAAATTTCGTTGGGGGTGATGCGCACAATAGGACCGTACTTCTCGTGCAGGAGGCCGACCTGCTTGTAGAAGCGACTACCATCTTTGAAGCTATAGTAAGTCTGGTAGAGGAAGGTGAGAGCTGCGAGCTTGGGGCCTGGGATTTGCGCGAGGGGGTGGAAGAAGAGGCGGTAGACGACGATGTAAGCGACGAAGGAAGTGATGAGCCCTGCGGCGTAGATCCCTGTCTCAGGGCCGAGTCCAAGCTCCAACCCCACCATGGTGATAGACCTCGGGACACTATTTGATTGCTTAGGGGACCAGTGCCCGACGCAGTTCCACAGCGCTGGGTCAGCAAAGGCGTCTTGGTTGGTGTGCATATGTACAATGGGGGCACGAACACACCCTTTGTAGCTGCCACGTTGCATAAAGCGGCGGAATGACCGGGCGCGGCTTTTCGAACTCTAGGATGCAGCTAAGTCTATCGCCATGTTGAACGCGGCTTACTCGGCCAATCACCGTCAAGCTCGATCGAACACTACTCCGTATTGAGGTTACAGCTCAGCCCACCACACGTACCAACGCATACTCCTCAGGTCGCCAGGCCGTTCGCGGCAATGACCTCTTCAACCTCGATTATTTTGATCACCAGCATAGATTCCAAAGTCCAGAAAACAGAATTACAATCGCTGAATCCATTATCATACCCTATGGACATTTGGCGCTAGAGACTCAAAGGTTAGAAATGTCAAAATATGGGGTGTCGCGCCGAGCCGTGCCACCGATTTTTGGACATGCCGAAGCAGGTTTCTCCACCATGGCGGGGTAGGCAAGGATAGATGCGGTAAGCTGGTTCGCTAGCTTAGCTGTCATGACATCTTCCGCACTCCCCGTCTTTAGCATTCTGGTGGATGTAACTCCACCGTAGCACGAGTAAATCTTTGGCATACGATCGAAGGACGCTGGAAGTCGCTATACTGCGGTGCACCATCTCTGGAAACCTGCCAAGTATTTGTATACCCTTCTGATAAAGATATGAGCCTCAACACCACAGAAGGGCCGTCTCCGACAGCAGAGGGTCCCCCAACGCCGCTCGCAAATACTACCCCGGCAACTGCCGTGGAAGGGATCCCTGCTGCGGCTGACGAAACTGCCGAGACGGTCTCAGTGGAAGCGACCATCTCTATCGTGAGTATTCATCTGTCAGAAGTGGTCAAGCTTACCAGGGATCAAGGACCCATTGGAAGAGGATACTGATACAGACTCCGCGTTTGGAGAAGATAAGTAAGGTTAAACACCTTGCGCAATGGACAAGACATTGATTATCGTAGTGCGAGCACTACGTCCTCGATCGCAAGCAGTATCCGGAAGTACCGTAATTTGCATGGACGGACGTATCATAACTTCAACACGGAAAGCTCCTCAGAGTACTGGTGAGTCAAGTCTGCAATGGACAAAACAAGCTGTTGACTTTTGTCAGGGGCCCAAACGACGAAAAGATGAATGAGCAGTTGGACATCGGGCATGCGCCTTTCGCTCTCCGAGATAGGAAAATAGCTAATCAGCTCGTAGACATCATATGCTTACGCTCATGCTAGACGGAAAGCTCTTCCTTGCACCAATCGGTTCAAGTCCGCAGGTATATTTGCGTCGTCAGACATCAGAGATACGAAAGCTGATAAGATATTCAGAAAGTATTGGATGTCGGAACAGGAACTGGAATATGGGCTATGTGACTAGTGTGCTCTCCGCATCGATCAACGTCTGCTGACAGTAACCAGTGATTTCGCAGACCAATTCCCATCAGCAGAGGTGATTGGTGTAGATATCTCCCCTACACAGCCGACTTTTACTGCTCCAAATGTCAAGTTCGAGCTCGACGATGTTCAGCTTGAGTGGACATACCAACCAAACAGTTTCGATTACATCCACGTACGCTGCATGCTTGGCGCAATTCAAGACTGGGCACATCTCTACCGTGAGATCTACAAGTAGGTTTGCCCTCACATGACCAAAAAAACCACGCCTGTGCTCAAGGAAAGTGATTTAGATGCACCAAGCCCGGGGGATATATCGAGCATCTCGAGATCTCAATCATGTTCAAATCTGAAGACGGCACCGTGACGGAAGACCACTTTATGGCGCAATGGTCCAAGATACTACTTGGTGCTGCCGAGAAGATTGGCAAAACCTTCGCCATCTACGACTTCAACCGGGAGATGATCACGCAGGCAGGCTTCGTCGACGTCGTGGAGAAGAAGTACAAGGTCCCTGTTGGCACCTGGCCAAGGGATCCGAAGATGAAGGAGTTGGGCCAGTGGAATCTGCTCTTTTGTCTTGAAGGGCTGGAGAGCTGGAGTTTGTATCTACTGAGTATGATTTTGAAAGTAAGTGATATTCGAAATCTTCGGAGGAAGATGTTCTAATAGGACGGTGGACTAACGAGAAGCAGTGGTCGTACGAGGAAATCCAGGTGCATATTGCGACGATGCGCAACCACCTTTTGAACCGGCGAAATCACGCTTATTATGATATGTACATCCTGCCCTTGTAGCTCTCCCTCTATGCTGCGGACTCACTAACGTGGAGCAGCAATGTTGTCTATGGACGGAAACCGGGGGAGCCTTGAGATACAACTGACGATTGAAGCCAAGTCGGTGCTTGATGATCAGCGGCCGGGTATCGCGCAATGTGAGCTGTCTGTTTTTTGGGTGTTCCGCGATCGTTGCGCGACTCCGATTCGTGTCCCAGCTACGATATCACTTGTGATCATTCAGCATTTCGTAGGCTAGTAATGACAAATACAATTGGGCAACCTCCCTGATCAATGTGTGACTTGCGTCGGAAATCGGAAATAGCACACGTGTCAGCCGAGTAGCAGTCATATCGGCTCCAGTTCTTGGCAAAACACGGCATGAAGGGAATTCGCTACCCAGATAAGTGCGACCTCAAAGCTAGCTCCATCCCACGCTGAAGATGATTCATTCACACACGCGTCTAATCTCTCCTGTAATAAGATGCTATTGGTATAATGCACGTGCTGGTTGTAAGGCGCAGGCACAACACTGTTAAGTTACACTGTATTGTATCGCAGTGGAAGTGTGATCCCAAACACTCACTTGGCTTCAATATATGCAGCTGTATATAGTAATAAGAATCTATAATTACAACAAAGGTCTACTTATTTACTATCAATATAATAGAATCGCGATTGGCTAATTGGTCCTGATCCTAGCGGTTAACGACTGGTTACCCAGACATTGTGAAAAGCGGCGTAGCCGAACATGCATATTTGTTGGCGCTACGCTTTCAAGTGTGACGAACGGAGTTTCAGGGATCTATAAATAATTCAAAATGGATCTGCAGGTGATGTAGTGTTTATTGAGTGTGAAGCGGCGTCGCTTTAACTTAAAGACCTCACCACCTGTCCTTTGGCACGACCTCCAGCACATTCGAAAGAAGATATGGCGGTTGTTCCTCCCATAAAGATTACATTGCAGCGCATCGCAAGTCCAGATGCATTCCACACGCTTTTGCAAACCTTTGATGGGTTGCCGAATAATCCCGCGTCCCTGTACCTCTCCAACACTTCTCACGACCTGATCATCTACGTTGCGCCAACGCGCATAGTCAACTCGATCAATATCTCTTACTTGAGCAAAGCGCTCTCAAATCAAGATGAGGGAGCATCTTCACTGAAAGGTTTCCTCGAGACAGGTGCTGCAACCCTAGTCTTCTTCGACGCGCGCAAGACAGCGAAGATTCTGTTCGAGAAATGCGACATCAAGCTATCCAACCCAGTTTGTTCAATCTACCGTAACATCAAGGCATACGCTAAGATCTCCAGCCTTCTACGGAACGAGCCCGCATTCACGAAGTACAGATGATAGAGCTTGCAGTGCGTGAGGGTGACTATGGTCGCAAATGGCTAGCGAGCCTTGACAGGTGTATCGCCCGGGACTCAGATCTTGATGTTGATGCGCTTATGCCAGACGATTGGATTGGCATCAACCAGTTCGACAGCAGAATCCTGCATCTACCAGTGTTGTGGAAGAAATACCATGACCAGTTACATGCCAGGCGTTACGGCTTCGCCGGAGGGGGCTTTTGGGTGGCCAAGATTCGGACGGATACCAAATTGCGACTGGCCGTGTCGTGTGGTGAATTCCACCATGGGTACGCCGTCGACGGTGCTAACAGCAATTGGGACAGGGAACGTGTAGAAGAGGAGACTGAGGCCTGGAATGAAGAGGTTGAGCATGATGCATACCATGACGGCGAGATACTGGGTGCGGATCATTGGGCCAAGTTTAATCTGTTGTGAGCTTGGTCGGATACAGAATACTATTTCAGGATAGAGCCGAATTGAATCGTTGAAGAACCTCAACCCATTGTCTATAAGCCCAGTGCGAGATGCGGAGCTGCAGGCTGGACGCATCGGCGTGACGCGAAGCTCAACGCTGTGGAGCTGCTCTTTAAGTCAGCGATGGTGCGCCAGATGCAAGCAACAAACTGTTCCTTGAATTAGACAAGGGTCTTGTAAGCCACACTCTCTTCTGGATGCTGAGCAAGATTACCAACTATATGACAGCTGTGGACGAGCTTGACATTGACGTGTGCAGCGCGCCTGCTGGAACACAATACCCTGACGAGCGTGCTGGCTTTCGAACGTTTGTTGATCTCAGACTTGAACGATGGCACACAGATCTTCCCCCACGGTTCTCTTCTGCTGTACGGATGCCACTGGAAGGATCAGGGGAGAATGTGACGTCCCCCAGTAGCTCGCCGAGCTTCGATGGGATTACATGCACCATTTCAACATGTGGATGTACTATGCAGGACTATTACATGGCCTGCATATTCCTGTTTATGAGAGAGCCTTTGCAGCGTCGTGCGCTCCGCGCCACATTCACAGAACGTCTTGCCTTGTATCGGCGAATATACAAAGAGGCGGTCCGCCACAGCTGAAAGATAAGCGAAATTAGTATATTGAGTCCACCGGAGAGCGTTCGTATCCAGTCTTTCAAACCGCTTTTGTAGCCAGGCAATGCCTTCGTGAGCTGCGGGAACGCGACGTGGTCGTCGCTAGGTATCGAACATGACCTGAGATGGGCTACTGGCTATTGCGCACAGAAGCCTGCTGAAGAATGGGAAGCCTATCTTCCAGACTAATTTGCAGAATGCTAACTCATATGAGATTAGCGATTGTAGAAGAAGGGTGCTATCGACCTTGACAGACCAAGCTATCATCATCAATGATGGTACACGTAAGCTCTGCTGTACTACAAAAAGCGAAGGGAGCACGATTGCGCTCCTAGAGCCCGTGAGAGATCTGCCCAGCAGAGTTAGATGACCACTTTCCAGAAAGGCTCTATACGCCTCTTTTGACATCGGAAGAAATCACGCAGAACAACGCCGAGGAGACACTAGAGTTAGTTCAGGGGAAGACCAGTGCGAGAGTTCTGATCTGTAGGTGCAAGCAAACTCACAGTGTTCTAAGGTCTATTTGAATGGTTTGGAGCTAAGTCTATATGCAATACTATCGCGCTACAGACGAAGGAAATGGTGTGCATCTGAAGCAAGTTCGGTGCTCCTGTTTATCCCCATGACTTGCGGCTGTGTGTGATCACCTCTATAAAACAGCGTTTCCGATCGCCTGAGGATTCCAAAAGACAGCCCCTGGATCGACGTCACCCTTAATCTTGACAAGCTTACGGTAGGTGGCAGGGCCATAGTAGAGGTCTGCAGCCTCCGCAGGTGTCAGTGCTGGATCAAGGTAGTTAGGATAGGCTAGGAAGTCGCCGTCGGGTTGCGCGGAAGTAAGTGCTGCGTTAAGGCCGTCAACAAAAGTCGTAATTTCTGGCGAGAACGGCGGTAAGCGATCTGCGCTAGAGCCGATATTCTCGAAACATGTTAGCCTCAGTGTGCATACTGAAAGGTGCGCTGTACTTACCTGGAATACCCACAGAGAGTCTCGATGAGAGTAGGCGGCAGAATCGGCCGCAGGCGTATTAATCTGGCTGTCCTTGCCACCATAGAGCGAGATGAAGGTGTTCCAGGGAAAGGCTGCGGTTAGCCCCTTGTCGATAATGTACCGGAAATAGCTCGCCAGAGCCACTTTGCTCAATGGCTTGGCCTCCCTTGTCACGACAGACTTGGTGTAGAAAGTCTGGTGATTGTTGTAGCCGGTCAGTGGCTCGCGGAGCGGCTCGCCCTCAGCTATATTCTCCAGTGCCGTTAGCCAGCCGTACTCTTGGACAGTAGTGTTATCAGGTGTTGGCATCCCGCTAAGAATTGCTGGAAAGACAGTTTGGGTAAAGTGATTTAGGTTCCCAAAATACCATCCGCGGACACTGAACTCGCCAAAAATGCTTGTATAGACCTCGAGTGTAAGATTGCGATTGACGTATGGCGAGGTGGTGACGAAGGTCTGAAGCTTGAAAACGATATCAGCCGCCGCATCGGCTGTCTCCAGAGCTGTCGAGAAGTTGCACGCGTAGCTCACAACTTGAGCCGGCGCCGGTTGCGTCTGGAGATGGAACGTTGTGATGATACCGATGCTGTCTGCGGCACCTCGCAGGGCGTAGTACAAGTCGGGATAGCTTGCTGGCGTGACATGCACAAGACGACCGTCTGCCAAGACGACATCCATGGCTACGATTGTGTCAAGCGCGAGGCCTGTTAGAGCTATTAGTCAGCAATGATGTTACGAGGTCAAGTGTAGCCGACGTTGATTTGCAGTGTGCGCCCAAAATAACGACCGGCTGGGGGGGAGGGTCAATAAATGCAAGATACATACCCCAACGACGAGACGAATAGCCAAAGCCCCCATGGGTGTAATGTCCGCCGATTCCCACGCCTGGGAAAGTTCCGTGTGGGAGCGCTCGTTGGCCCTGATTGTATATTCCCAAGCCAAGATTGCCAAGACGAGCACCTCCTCCGACGGTTACAATGCCAGTCGCTTGGTGATTGTTAGCAATGCCGTGGCAGTGGATATGGGAGAAATATGAGAACTTACAATTATCGAGAGAAATGGTGTTGAAGTTCCGCAAGTCTACCACGAGACTGCCGTTCTTTCCGCCGAGCGAGAAGCTGCCGTACGAATGCCCCCCCGATCTTGCCTGCACTTTCACACCGGCTGCTGCAGCACACACAACAATATCAGAAACCTGCTGAGGAGTATTCGGGAGAGTGACAGCAGTGGGAATGTATTTGAGACGGAGGTTGTACGGATCGATCAGCGAGGCCCAGTCAGAAGAGGAGTTCGAGCTAAGCGGGACGCTCTTGCTTGCGAGACAAGCTTGCAGGCTTTGATTTGAGGCAGCAATATAGCCATCATGAGTGCTAGAAATTGCTAGCACGGAGGTCAAAAGACCTGAGAAAGTGGTCACAGACGAGATCATGCTTGACAAATAGATATGGTTCCAGCGGTTGTTGAGATACCTGGAAAGATTCCCACCCTGAGTGCTTATTCACGCCCTATATATACTAGCTAGAAAATCGCCTCGGAGCTTTTCGGTGTGCTATAACCCTCAACGTGCTGCGCATTACGTGTCGCCAAAGGTATGCGAACCTGGACGCGAAGCGCAGACTGGTCTTAGTGCTGATCGTCCTCATTGAGTTGTGACATAGCTGCGCCAGTAAGATCGACTCCCCTGGTATGGTAATTACCTCGGATCCGTGCTGTTCAGCTATATTGCAACATGCTGGGGATAGAAGAAGGGGCTAGCGGCGGGCTGAGGTGCTTGAAGTCCGAGGGAAGCGAGGAGACAAACCTTTCGATCGATCTGCAGGTTTAGGGTATCCGTCCGCGACATTTACTGCACTGTTCGTGTTCCCCACTGACTCGCGCCATGTCGAACGCACGAAAGCAAGAACAGAGAAAATCCTCATACCTCCCGAGCAGATCTGTAGATGTTCTCCTGGGCATTCGGGCATGCCCGCATTGCGCCGGTGAGTTTCGCGCCTGGACCGTGCTGCTCGGAAGTCCAAGCTATCCGAGTGCGACCTACTACAGCAACTTTATCCTGCAAGAGACCAGGTATGCCAGCAAGGATCTGGATACTATCGAGTCAAATCTCTCTAAGACCCACTGTATAGTCGCAGTCATGTTCAACGAACGCGGGAACATGCGTAGCAGGATTGCATGCAGTTTGACTCGGCGCAACTTGAGCACTAGTTTCGACAGGTCTCGGTCTTAGAGAGACACGGCGTCCTTCCGACCTGGCTTTTCATCTCGTCCGAGGATGAGACTTCTCGGTGTGTATAAGCATGTGCAGTTACGTATTTAACGACTGTGCAGGAATGCAACCGGACAGCTATACCTATATTGCTGCGTAGTTGGCAGCGTCTTCCATCGTCATTCGGGTTTCTCTATCATAGATTCGCAACGCCTCACGTGCTTCTCCAGCCTCATCTAACAGCAAATTCTTAACTGCGTCCGAGCGTGGGATGAGACGCACTCGGGAAGGCTCCGGTCGCATATTCTCACTGTTGGTGCAGGCGAATATGTCCAGCTTGACTTCGTTTTGCTGACAGAATTTGTAAGCAAAACAGACGTCTACGTGAAGGGTAAGTGCTTTTGGCAAGACCTACATGCTCGTCAAGATCTGGCAAAATATCGAACGCCCACATCATTCGCGCAAGGGAATCGAGAAGACCTTGTTCGGCAAGCGGCTGGCCGCTACACTGTCTACGTCCCCAACCAAAAGGATTCATTCCATACTTGTTCGGGTACGGCTGTTTCGCACTGTCTTCGCCCTCAAGGAATCTCTTTGGCATGAACCTGTCCAGGTCGGGAAAGTCGCGTGGATGCCTGTGAATAGCCCACATGTTACTAGTAAAGTTGGTGCCAGCTGGGAAGCGGTAGCCCTGGTAATCCAGATCTACAGTATTAGCATGAGGAATGCCAGCTAATATGATAACAGTCCTCCATCGAAGCGCCTCTTTGACCTCTGTAGTTTTAGCCATGGAATCGAAATATGTTTCACCCGCAACGTACCACGGCAGCCATGTATGGAAGCGCATTCGAGTGGATGTCCTCCCAGTTCGGAAAGCGATCAGTCCCAACGACCGCATCAAAATCAGCGTGAACTTTCTTTTGCACTTCTGGAAAGCGTGCCATTGCCAAGATGCACGACATCATGGTGCTGCTGGTTGTATCTACTCCAACCACCAATCAGGTTGCCCATTAGGCTTGCGACCTCCACATCCGTCATATCGCTGGCTTACTGAGAGGCCATGACATGATTCCCAAAGTTGTGTTCTTTCGCCTCAGCGCCTTCTTGTGTAAGTAAGTAGAAGTAGCGTGACATAACGCTAGCACCAAGTCGCATCTGACTTGGCAACGCGTACAACCAAGCAGGCAAGTGCATCAGGAACGGAACTGCTTCCATGAGATAGATACCAGGGACGATTAAATCGACGGCTTTCATCAGCTTGAGAGCTTGTGGAGCGACATAGTCGTTCTTGCGGTCGACACGCCGACCCCAGCCTACAATTGAGTTAACGGATACAGAGTACTGCTCGATGGAGAGCTCGAAGTCTTGTGGCTCAAGGAGGAAGCCGCGGACTAAGATAGCAGACTCGTGCGCCTGGAAAGTACCATATTTACGTACGGCTTGGAAGCCAACAGCCATGTGCTATGCTATCAGCTCACAATACGGCGGATGTAAATAAGTCGAAGTGACATACCATGAGCTTTCGGTGTTTCCTCCATCGATCACCGTATACTAACGTAGTTTGATTTGTATTGGTAGCGTTGATCGCATCGCCCATAGCAATCAATCTCGGTCTGCTCGAGAAGATATCTGACCTCTTCTCCAGCAAGTCACTCGCGACCCACACATCGCTCAATATGATGCGCGGATGCCGTCCGATCCAGAGTGTGATCATAGGTGAGTTGTAGTGCTGAGCCCATTTCTCCCATGTGATCCATGGCTTGTACGAAGGTGTTTGGAAGTGGTTTCCAAGGATAGGTAATGGAAACGGTCCTGGAGGGAGGTATCGGCGCCGCCATAGTATATGGATATAGTCTATGATCAAGGCGAAGAATGCAAGAACAGCAATAACTTGAAGCATGGTTCTCAATCAGAAACCATTTGCCGGTTATGCGCGTAGTATGTCTACAAAAGTATCGAATCAATGTAATTTCTAGCTGAGAAAAGCAGACGACGCAGTTGGTCGACCCGGCCGTGAGTTGTGCTGGGGAGGTGGACACTATCCCAGCGAGACTAACAGCCTTGCAGTATCTATGCATAATCTCCAACGCAGGTTGGGAAATCTTGTCTCCATGTAAGGGTGCGGGGTAGCGAGTTTATGGATGTGCGGAGTTGTGGGTACCTAGGTATGTGGAGTCGGACCGACTGGCTTGGATATAGGCTGGTGGGATACCCAGTGCTCCCCCAACGATGGGCATCATTATGCATTCGTCGTATCGCGTTCACTGATAGTTGCTTTGTCTGCTTCCTACAGCTCTTTAAGCAATTTTCTTCATACTAAGATTAACAGTACTCACAGCGAGGATCCAGCGATAGGTGCACTCTCAGTCCTTCATTGTCGTGCCTCCACGTCGGTCACATCTCGAGCAGGGGCAATATTGGTATACTTCAAAATGAGAAAACTTTCAATTAACTACTGCAACGTCAATGAGTTCTAATCACAACTGATCCACTGCCCTGACGATACATTGTAAATTATCTTCGGCGAGAACGGTCGTGTCGCTGCTGAGAGCAAGCGTTATCTCGGGTCGACTTGTTCCAACAGGCTTTAGCAAGACATTCTCTTGCGGTCAGCTCTGGGCCAACAATTTCGTGTGCGCATCCGTCATTGGTCATATATCCACGCCGATGATGATTTAGGTTAGTATGATGGACAATTGCAAGACTTCTCAGCTCGTCCAAAAGAATAAAAAATAACGCCGTTGAAATCCTGAGTATCGTACTAATCGGCTGATCTCATCAAGCTTGCTTATGCCCAGCTTCCAAACACTCTAGAAAGACCAGGATCTTTCACCTCGTACATGAACCAGCCGGCGACAGGTTGCAGTGTGTCTAGTCCGGTATCTTCGCCCACTATCGGTGCTACATCTACCAACTCTGAAGGCCCAAACATCGCTTTCTTCACCCAGGCCTTGTGACCTTGGCTGGTGTCCAGCTTTTCTCCGCTGCTAGATGCCGCCATACCGACTAGTCCAGCAACCATTCTGGTCTTGTACTCGCGCGCACCATCATCGACCACGACCGGTACCGACATATGAGCGCTAGGTATGTCTGATATGTCAACCCGATGATACAACGTACCATCAATGTCACAAGCATCCCTGGTTACGCGGTGCAGCATTCTACCCTCGCCGTTCCAGAAGCAAAAGGCTGTGATCCAGCCCGAGAGATAGGATGGACCTGAGCTATTGCTCTCTTTGTCTGCAATCTTTGTCCAGAAGTCTACGACTCTGTGATTATCGGCATCCTCAAATGTAGCAATGAAGTAATCGAGTATGGGAGATAGTAGAGCGGCAAATTGTCTAGGTTCCTTGCCGAATTCAGGTAGCTTGTTAAGGCGTTGGCGTAAGTCCACCCAGTCAGCCTTCTCCCCCAAAAGAGTAACAGAAGGGATGCCGCATGTCAAACTCATGCGATAACTGAAGTACTTTTGCATCGCACCCATCATGATGATGGCAGCGGTCTCGGTATCTGTTCGAGTGGTAGTGGTAAAGCTTGGCATGATCCAGTCACGAAGCCCTGGATCAACAAGGTATTGGTCCATTGCTTCAGTAAGCCATATCGCCAGTTTTCCGGCATCAAAAGTTTCGATACTGCCAGAGTCAATCACAACAAGTTCTTCTTTACCTGCATGGCTGACGAAGGACGACCGAAGTTCCTCAGCGTTAGCATTGATGTAGAAGGTTATCTGGGTCAGGATGGTGAACCAAACATCTTCAGGTCGGATCTTGAGGTGATGGTGGTGGCTGTAGGCTTCGTACGCCGCCATGACAAGGCCATTGGATGAAGGGATGATGTTGAGACGAGTGAAGTCAGTGGTTGGAGGCCGGATCATTCGCTTGCACCGTGCGGCCTCTCTTGGGCAAGACGCGTTGAACAGTACCTCAGCAGAGTTCACGGCTTTGGGAATCAGCCTTCGTGCCGTGTGGCTAGCAGGACGCACGGTGACAGGCATTGCAATAGCCTCCAATTCAACTAAAAAGTGGTCGTGAGTGAAGTGTGGTGATAGCTCAGTACTCTGAGTTCACTGCAAGGGATAGTGGTGATAGGATCGAGATACAGGATAAATGGTACCAGCGTCGTCAAGATATATGCCCCGTAAAGGCACCAGCCTCTTCAAGGCACCAGCCTCGTCAAGGCACCAGCCTCGTCAAGGCAGCCTGCTGGTCGAGGTGACTGCCTTACCTTAGACTACTATGATTGGCGCGGCACAAAAAGCCCCTGAAATTTTTCCAGGATTTTGATTGGCGGAAACGGACCAGCCACAGGGGCCAAAAAGATATAAGGCGTCCCATTTGCTTGGCAAAGCTGACCTTAGCTCTCCTACGTTGACTGCTAATATCAGAACCAAATCGTAAGTCAGGCTGCAAATCGGACTGAAGTACATAGCTTTCGTCGCCCCTGTGCAAATTTTCAGCACCCGCGTATAACGTGGAGGCAGTGAACTACGCTTGCCATGTTTGAGGCTGCAGGTGTCTATCTGGGACCCCGCGCGCGCATTACAGCCGAGAGTGCTAAGATCGGTGCGCCAGATGAATGTATACATACCAAACTGCGGAGGTTGTGTGCGTCTTCATTAAGGAAGGTTTGTCTGATGCGATCCGCGACTGAACAGAACAGTGCAAGTCAATTGTGGGTGTATTCGTGTGCGAAAGCGAGGCTGGATGTGATGAGTTCGAGAAGGGGAGGGGCAAAGGCAGCTTCATACGGTAGAACGGGTCAGTTGTTTACAGTGACATCGCTGATCAGCATTTACACTACGCTTACATGTAAGTCTCTGCTACACAACGAGCTCTTGCTGTACGACGAGCTTCTGCTATACAACGAGCTGCTGCGCAGACCTGACCGTGGCATATACATTGAGAGCGCTGTTGTGATTGGGGATATCCCGGATGGTTCCCAAAGCGAAGGCAGGGGCGGAACATTTTCTGCAGCGATCATGGCAGCCAACAGTCATGTGGCAGCAGCAGCAGCAGGACTTTAACGATAGTCCTTTGTCGCATCGTGTGAGGTTGGACAACTCTAAAGGCGATGGACAAGGAATGCGCTCTTCTTCAGTGTTCGCTTGCAGCATTTCGCGACCCTGTTCTCAATTGCTTGGCGGCGCTGTATAGCCTTCGCGTATCTGCCCACTCGGGATTAACGTCTTTCACATAGATTAAGGTACTCTCCAAGTCATCCTGTATGGTATGATAGCTGACATTACATGGCCTGCAAGTTTCCGGCTTCTATAACTCCTCCAATCCATGCCATCTCCCAAACTTACTTCGCGCCCTGGTTTGCATTGAACCGTTTTGCGGGTTTTCCCTCAGTGTACCAAGTCAACCCCACTGCATCACTACGCATGATACCAATGCATAGCCAAAGGTGTGCTAGCAAACCCTTTTTGCTTATTGATCGATAAGCTCAGAAACTCAGACACGGTGACCGAGGGGCCAATGTAATCGAAGACGACACTCCACCCCTCGAAAGCAATGATAATGGACACCCGCAAATCTCGATGGGTTAAGACTTCCTTAAATATTGGAAGTTGCAGTTTCTTGCCTCAATTAAGTCATGGAGATCCCCTGAGGAGCGTCGCAAGACTGCGATGTACTAGAGCCGTTACTTAGCTACTGGCTATGCTTTACTGCATTTGATACCTCTAAGCAGCGCAATCGCAGTCTTGATACTTAACTGGTGTGGATATTTCGTGAGGCCTTCTTTTACATTCTCTACTACGCTACAGTTTGTCGCTAAACTACAAGAGCTTCTGATACAGGCCTCTCTTGCTAAGATCGTCTTGAGCATCGTTCGCTCACAGATGATGGAAGGGTACCTGCCCTTAGGTGCTCTGTCAGCATCCACACAGGCGATGCACCTACCTTACCTCTGGTCACTCGATCTACTGGCAGCAGTAACATCTCCATCCTTTCGTGGGCGACGGAAAGCGCTGTTCGTCTGTCTGGTTCCTCTATTAGTCCTTTTGGCAGCTCTCGTTGGGCCTTCCAGTGCTGTTCTAATGATACCAAGGACAGGAGTGTCAAGCAGACCAACTGTTATACATTGGCGATCTTTGAGCGATGAAGAGATCATGTTTCCTTCTCGACTGGATAGAACTCAGAATCTAACATTGTAAGCGAAACATACCGCAGCTCATTATAACCTTCGTTGACAAGGTATAGCAACTTAGATCGGTTCAGCACAACTTATGAATTTGCGGAGAAGCTTCAGACAGAGTTTACTAACACCCAAGCCTTTTATAATGGAAATGAAACGATGGCGCAGTTAACCTCACGAGCTTTGCACTATGTCACGACCGAGAACGAGGTATCAAGCCGCAATGGCAATTTTCTAGTGAGCTCCGCAAATGCCACTATCCCAACTCAGCTCAGTGCACAGGTTCTGTATCAGATACCTCTTGGAATCAACGTCGGTGCTTGGAATCCTGGAATTGAATATACAAGATCTGTCAAATTACCACGCGTTACAGTCACAACCCATTGCTTGACTGCATACAGCTCACGGCACACGATAGTAGACACGCCGGTCGCCTACCCCCTCGACAACGGTACTTCTATTGGCATAGTTTCTAGTCTGAAGACCCTACTTCAGCACCTTCTCGACCATGGTGTCTCCCGAAACACACCAGTCAACGCCATACCGCCCATCTGGGTTGCTTCGCCTGAGCCTGGTTCCTCTTCAGTTATTGGCAGCTTTATCCAAAACAACTGTGATGGCCTGAAACAATGTACGATCTCGGATCTACTGCTCAACAGATCCAACGAATCTGTGCTGTTGTCGAGTTCTTGTTTTCTGACGAAGACTTGTACGGTAGCGGCTTTCTGGGAGCCGTCTCAACACGAACTTGCAACGGACAGCGGTTCATGGGTTGTCCGCACAGGTCCGCTTTCCAGATCGGGTCGTGGCCTACCCGAAAACACACGGCCAATCTACGCTGATCTCAATAATATTACTGGCCTGAGCACCCCGGAGTTTAGCGCCATGTTATCTAAAACGTTACAAGGCGACAGCACCAGGCTAGCCGCCGCGTTGGCTACCGTATTCGCCGAGGTTCCTTGGAAAGAGCAGATACAAAGCGCATCGGGGAATGAGCCGTACACAGTGATCAAAATTGCCTTAACGCGTGTTGGCTACGGATACGAGACATCTTCCGTATCTGCACGCTTATCGCTAACCGTTATCATGGCATACTGCATTTTCGCCGTTGGAAACATAACGTACATGCTTAGTAGCGGCCACACATCCACAGCATGGAGTTCGGCAACTGAGATTATCGTTCTTGCCATGCAGTCAAAGCACAGTAAGCATTTGCGCCATGTTTCGGCTGGCGTCAACTGTCTCGCAACATACCAGGAGCCTGTTGGGATACGAGTCAACGATTGCGATCATTTGGAACTAGTGTTTGAGCATGATCAAGCTAATCAGTTGCGAAGTCTAAGAAGGGCTAGGCTGAACAAGGCGTATTGATTTGCACATGCCCTGGACGGTGTAGCCAAGAATACTGAACGCGATGTACAGACTGAAACAACGATGAGCCAAGAACTAGCATCGCATTGTCTTATGAGTCGACTTGCTTGGTAATCCAGCTAGATTGTATCTGATTATTCCCTATGAGAGATGACTCTGAACGAAATGCATGATAAGCTTTCGAGCCTGCTCTCCTTCCCAGTGCGGAAGCAAAGAATAGACATGAATCATATGAGCTTGCTCGACATAAACAAATCGCTCGAGCTGGACGCTCTCAGAGACACACTGATCGCTGCTATGGCCCTGAAACCGAGCATTCAGTCGTCTCGCGTCGGAGTTCAAAATGTCATCCGTGCCAGAGAGACGGAGAAGCGGCAGAAGTCGCGCAATATCAACAGGTAGCGGACTGACCAGCGGATCTGAGGTAGTTGTGCCAGCTGACCACAGCGGCGTGATGATTTGCAGGCCATCGATGCCGAGCCACGGATCCATGCTGTCTAGCTTCTGAGCCTCTGGGTGGCGGAACGTCACGTCAAGGACGGGTGAGATCAGCACAACAGATTGGACCTTCTTCGCGTGATCTGGCGCAACGTCGAACATGTGGTGCATGGTAGCTAATGCTAATGCCTCTCCCGCTGGATCACCGGTGATATTGACAATATCTTGCTTGGTCTGGCGGCAAATGTCTACCAAACCAGGAACCACCTGTCTGGCTGTAGCGGCCGGTCTTGGTATCAGGGGGTATATCGGTACCAAAATGTCCAGTCCAGTGTCGCGTGCGACCTGAAAGATGAACTTCCAGTGATTCGGGTCAATCTCGCGATAGAATGCTCCTCCATGGATGTAGAGCATGGCACATTGTGGTTTGGATGAATTGTCCTTCCCTGAGGTGTGTCGTAATGATACATGGTACAGTGGATAGTCATTCACATCGATCCGATCCACGTCAATATCGTGCCCGTGATTTGCAGGTGGGCAGAAGCTTTGAGGGATGATATAGACATCGTGTATGTTTTTGCGCATGCTCTGTGCATCCCCAAGGATTTTTTTTTAGAACGCCGTATGTACTTGATATAAAGTCGAACTGCTAGAGCAGACCAGGAGGCCACAATGATCTGAAAGAGAAGGAAATATAACGGTACCGTGATTCCTAGACGTGTAGTTTCACCTCCCGAAATAGATACATGTACGATTCTTTTAACGAGATTAGGGAAATAACGGAATTGATGCTTGAGTATCCGCGTACGCGTGGTCTAAACACGGCTAGGAAAACTAGTTGCGTCGATCAACACTCGATTTCACGTGTCAAAGTGGCATTTCAGCCAAGTACATGATACCTCGGTTTGGCTCATCGTTGGATCTGGGATACAAGCTAAAGTCAGGCTAAAGTAGCGGACGATCAGGTCTATGGGATCGATGTGCATAATTGCTAGCAGCTCAGCCTACGGTATTAGTCCTGAGCACATGAATGCTTGTTATGTCGGGTACATTGGGGATTTCGGCTGAGATGCGGTGCAAGGACTGACTCTGCACGCTGTTGTCATCTCAAGTCACAACGTCATGCGACTACTCGGAGATGGTCATCTATTGCAGAGCGTTGTATTGTACTCCGGTCAAGGTATCTAGGTACTAAATGGTTCCTGCCCGCAATGCTGGCATTGGATTATCGCAATGTGGCTTCTGGTATTTGTAGTGTGTATAGCACGACATGCACATCATTTACATACTGTGGTGGGCGAACAAGCATCTGGTGACAAAGCGAAGGATGGTGGTGATGCAGAAAACGATGTTTGAGGTCGGATTGGTCGCATCATATCTGCCCTGGCTGCACTAGCCTCACTGGACCGCGTGTTGAGCACGTGATAGCGCGCTATGTTGAGCGCGTTATTGCCCACGTCCCAGACTACTACGAGCAATACGGCACAACCTCTCGTCAAGACCTGCAATCGGGTTATCGACCTCCTGGGACCATCCGAGGTACGGTTTGAACGCTCTTATTAATCGTTGCAAGTCAAACCGCCACCGCAAGGGTTTCGGCCGATACACCATTGGACTACCCGGCTTGCTTGGTACCTGAGGGGGGAGATGGTCTTTGGTTGAAAGTCTTCACTACCCACTTATCTCACCTTGGGCCTCAGGTTGACGTGCAGTGCCGTCAATCCCTACTATAGAGCGACAACACAAGCATGACATTGAGAGCGGGAATGAAATAGCGTTTTGCGTCTTTCACTATATGAGGAATGAGGGAGCGGTCGGGTGACACTGTTTCCGAGACACTTAAAAGGTTATCACGTAGTACCGCTGCTGAATGTTCCGGTTCTCGACATTGTGAGGTGAAGGCAAACGCCTCCAGAACCGACCTCTACGTAACTGACCATTTATCTCGCGCGTTCTACCCTCACTCTTTGTATCCTTTGCAACCGCGATATATCTGTTGCGCACGACAGCTAATACACGTACCGCATCCATTAAATTGATACTTGAGCCTTTGTGAGCCTTTCACCTCTTCGCCACGTACGTATGTCGCCCAACATCCAGCCCAACACCCACTCACCAAAGCAAGCAACTACAAGGATGGAAGAGAAAACTATTGCCAATCGCAATCTCACATTCACAAAGCCAACCGCGACAACTGACATGAAGGAGTGGACAAGACTTCGGTGGTTCGGCTTCGTCACCAAGCTCATGGTTCTGAAGCAGTCGGTCAAGATATGTTCACAGAAGCTCGGGCGTCCCCCACCGAGAAGCAAATCTTGAGATTTATATCGTTGATGATGATAAACAACCATCCGAAACCGTTGAGGGGTTCTAAAACGACATGACCGACTCCAAAGATGCAAGAATGCATGTAAGAGCACTACCAATCTTGATGATTGGGTGACCACTAAGACGTGACAGGGCTGCGATATTGCTATTCAGGCGCGCAATCTCAAAAGTATGGGATCTGAGGAACCGGTGATCAAGACACGGCTCGAGCAGTTACGATCTTGAAAGCCAGGCACGAAGAAGAGTATGGCAGCTTACCAGGGTTAGGTGCAACCATGTGGGCTTGGCTTTGATTAGGAAGATGTATGATAAGTAAATCGACAAAATGACCTGTTCACGTCCAGTTCCAGCAATCTCATAGCATGCGACAAGAAAATGCGAGGATGAGAGCGATACGATATCTTGTGCGCAGACTGCAGTTGGGAAAGGGTGCGCTAACCTGAAAAGGCTCGGCGATGTGTCGGGATGTCAAGCATCGTGACCCCGCACCTCATTGCCAGGATCCGCTATTGCCTGGCATTGCGCCATTAATATCAACACTAGACGTTAGTCCCACCAATGGGGATATCCTCCGAGCAAGTTTTGCACTGCCCGCGTCATATCTCCGTTTCGAGTTTGTTGCCTTAGTGCGCGTTCCTTCGCGTTATTCGGGAAATGTCGCGAAAGTATCACGCTATCATGCCTGATCGCCCATACATGTAGCAATCTCCCGGTCCGAGTCGCTCGTTATTATGCTCACTCCAGAGCCGGTATGCCAACTGTCTCGATTGATGGATAGTCATGTCACTACCCGACGAAATCTACCTGGAAATCTTCTCTTATCTACCAAAGCACCATCTACGTCCAGTGCTGCAAACATGCCGCACTTTTACAAGACTTGTGAAGCCGCTCGTGTTCAAAACGCTTCATCTGGATGGCAACGCTCAAGAAGGGAATATAGTGGCTGAATGGAAGCCAGGAGTTATTCGGTTTTGTCCAGGCCGTTCACGGACCACAGAATTGGCTTCTTTGAAGGATACAGTGGATGAGCTCATTGCATTCGACATTCTGCGACATGTGCGCAAGCTCAACTTCAGTCCGAGATACTACGTGGAAGGCAGGTTCATTCCCTTATGAGCAACGATGCAAACACTAATATTGCATTTAGGGTTCTGGTCGAGCTTTCGTCAATGGCTCCAGAGATCAGACGTCCAGGAAGACTTCCGTAAAACGTTTGAAGTGAGTGATACTGGAAGCGATGATGGAGAGTGCTATAGAGCCCGTCGCCTCGCTTTAGCACCACTTGCCAGACCTGAGGTGCAACAGGAGTTGATCGTAAAAGCAGAATCTGTATGGACAGAAAAGGTGGCTCAGCAGCGTGAGAACGCGGAAGAGAATCTAGCGGCTTTGGTCAAGCTGTTTCTGCATATGCCCAATCTGAAAGGCATCGAGATTAGAGTGTGGAGCTTCGATCTAGGCGAGTATGGCTTCCCAGGCTCTGCAGAGAGGATCCGCAGCTTCCTGGTCTTCAACGAGGTCGAAACGTTTAGCCACGAGTTGGGCGAACAGTTCGGTGGCTGCAGCACGATATGGAAGCATCTTGAACTGCTAAGCTCCGCAGTACAACTGGCGAAGATCCGTATTGCAAGTCTATCTATTTCCAAGATTGACTTGTTCACCCTTAAAACAAATCACGCCTTGGAGAATCTTTTCAGCTCTTTGGCTGGTCTTTCTCTCAACGTTGAGAATTCTCGTCTGACCCGAGACGCTGTTGAAAACAACGAAGCATCGCCCTTTGCCGCATTGCTTCGTCGCGCATCGCAGAACCTAGAGAACCTAGAATGCGGCAACGTCACCACGTGGAATTGCGACATACCGAACTACAAAAACCCACTCCTCAACCGGCTATTCGGTGGATCTTATATCTCAGGTCCAGCGGATACGGCTCCGTTAGTTTTCCCAGCGTTGAAGACGTTGAAGCTTCGAGATGTTGAAGTCGACGCGGCATACCTGATCGACTTTGTCTCTCAGCAGCCAAAACTACAGTACGCGCACTTCGACTTGGTTGGTCTAACCTCCGAACGTTACTTGTGGGGTGATGTCGCTGAACACCTACCACCATCGTGCAAGAAACTCTATATCGGCAATTGTGGCCACGGCACGTTTGACCCAGACACGCCCGTTGTCGGTGGCAAGGGCAGAGCATTCTTTCCCTACGTAGAAGGTTTCCCAGCTACATCAGATTGGACAGTGGATGAGTCTTTCCTTGATCAAGAGATGGATGACCATCTGGGGTCAGGGCCGCCAGGCGCACCCCCTGGATCGGGCGGACGGTATGCGTATGCGACTACGGCGAGGGAGGAAATGAGGGCCCAGTATATAACGTTGTACCAGTGCGCGGTGTTTCGGAGATCTTGAATCAGCCAGGATATATGCAGCGCTAGATAGCTGAGAAACGTATCGGGTCGTTGTGCAGCTCATACGGGATGAACGCCAGCGGTATTCTAGAAGCCGCAGATACTACCTAGAGTCTTCGGCATGTGCAGACTGACTGCCCTCTGGCGGACTTCTTCTTACTGCAAGTTACAAGACCTTCATCTCGTCTGCCCTACACGTCGCTGTCTCCAAGTTTCAATTTGTCTCCTATCAACAGGTTCGTGCTTGCGTCAAGGCTGCCCTAAACTCAGGCTACGCCAGATCGGCTTGTATGGTATTGGCGAACACACTTCTCATATTAGACGAGAACAATTTCATAGAGGCAACAGCACAGTCGCATGCTTCAATCCTGCACAGTAAGAATCGATATATAACAGGCCATTAGTGGGGCCAAGAGCAAGTATAGAACAATAGCAGTAGTACTGCCTTTCCAGAAGCACTTCATAGCCGAATGCAAGCTTATGAGCTGGGACAATTTAGAATTTAGTCTGTACCTACTATGAGGACAGGCGGCAAGCTCCGACCCGAAAACGGTCCACACGTCGCTGATGGTACTTAAGACTGTTGGTGTTTTCACGAGGTTCAAGGACGCCGAATTCAGTTTTGCCAAGCACAATCAACCGCTTACTATAGCATGCCGATGAATCCACATTAATATGCCGGGCGAGAAGAATTGCTAACGTGAATATCTGCTTTCCATGAACCTTGAGGGATTGGTCGAAAGGATAAAGCCTCTGGAGGAAGCTCTCTGATTAACGAGATGCTACTAGCAGTTGAAATTGCAAAATCATCGTTGCTGTCATTCTATATCGAACGTAGATATGTGCTTCCCTATAAGCTTCCTGAAAGTTTGCTGGTACGCATCAACACGGAACATTCCAACTCGTTGCCACGTACGACCGCTCTCACCCAACTCCAATATCATTACAAAACATTGATTGAGAAAGCCGCCAATGTATACAAATTGCCACCGTGAGGTGTCTTTGAACTTTTCTGCCAACTCATCAACGGTAGGGTTACCACTAGACCATGATAGTTTTGCTCCATGACTGGCTATGCCCCACACCTTACGTGCCTTCTTTACACCTTCATAGACGTCCGGAACTAGTGACAACGTTGTTGCGGTGATCCTTAAGACAGCGTGGCTTCTGTTCTCATCCAATTCTTCCAAACTCAACGACCCGCCGGCCATTCCATGGAATCGTAAGTCATGAAGTGCGTTACTGAACGATACATTCTTGCGAGGCGAGACTTTATACTCAATTTGACCCTCCCAACCTGCCCATGTCCACGAGGGGAATAAGTTTCGACGGCGAGCTTTAGTCTTCTTCCGGTGCATCCAAGTTAGCGATTGAACAAACACATCCAAGCTTCTAGGGCCGTTTGAAGGATAGGCTAAACCCCAGACGTGATTGAAAGCATATCGTTCTTGCGAAAACTGTTTGATGATACCTTGGAAGGCATTGAGTGAATCCTCGTCAAAGCTGAGATTTCTGCTGGTGTAATTCTCCACGTTGGACAGGTATCGAACAAAACTATAGTTTAAGCTCTCCTTATCACGGACGAGCTTCCCATAGGTCTTGCATTTGTTCTGCCCAAAAATACCAGAGCGGATGGTTTCGCGAGTTTTCGATTTGTCCTTTATATGCATCTCGTCCAGCGGAAAGTGATTGCTCTCAAAGCAATTCATGGTGTTGCATTGGAAGTACACTTGGTCGTCAGTGAAGACAAGTCGGCGGCGGCTCAGGAGAGCTTCTTGAAACGTCCAACCACGGGTAGACCAATGAGACTTTGAAATCACTGTATGGGGGTCCATTGGGTCGCGCATTATTGTCGCGCCGTCGAGTTGGGCGAGAAATTGATGCGGGCGATTGTAACGTAGTGCAATCGATGACTTTGACGCCGTTTACCGGTAACACTTTGGAATGGCAGAGCAGCCGATGGTGCCGTGTACAATAATCGAGCCACGAAAGTACAAGGTTGGGATCGAACGACGGGGATATAGGTTGCGGTGAGAAGATTTGGGGATCAGTGGAGCTATCAAGTAGAACCAAACGACCACTGAGGTTGATGCTATATCGATGTCTCATGTCGCTCCCCTGTGCGACCAACATGAGGCGTAAGGCTTTTTTTCTTGCTTTGTTTAACTGATTCGAGAAGCAATCGTTATAATAATCGACCCAAATTTCATCACCACCGTCTTGATAGTTAGAGTGTGTCTGAGTTACCCGAGACGCACCAAGTGCCCGACACAGCGCGCAGTCGTATTGTTGCTGTCTATATCGAAAGCCGACCCTCGTTCGTAAAACCCTAACCCATTGATTAAGCTCAGCGTGTTCCCACGGAGCTGTGATTTGCTTCCCGTAAAAACTATAACCGCCACCCTGAGCTTCTCTGATCACAACATCTAGGTTGAGACTGCGGCATTTATCGCAAATATCATTGCTGCCTTTCATGTGCTGCACATCTCGGGAAACGCGATGGTTGTCGTTTCCATCCTGATCGGTAAAGGGAACGCTGTTGAGATCAAACATCGCATATATAGGGAGGGCTGGAAGGAGTCCAGCGCAACATGGGCAGAATCGTGATTATTGCGTGACGAATAGATAGTGGTGAATCTGTGCAGCGGAGGTTCTAGAGGAGAAAGGCTGTATTGTCTCGCGTTTTGTGGTTCAGCCGCACTCCATGCTGGTCTGATCAAGTTGGGCAAGAAGCGGGGCTATGCTATGGCGGAGCATGCCAACGCCCAGAAGGAAAGCAGGGCGCCTCAGCAGAGGGGTGTCAATGAGATATCGGTGCCTGGACCGAACCCGATGCGTACTGACCGTAATTCGAGCCATATGGAGAGTGACATTCGTCGCTCCCTAGACAAACGGTAATGCGGTTCGCAACGTCAAATCGCACTATACAGGTGTTCGAAACACGCGCCAATTCGCGAAGCATCATGTACCAGGCATAGCGCAACGCCAAGCGCCCAGGCCACGGAAACACGGGGCTAGAGGGCCGACCCAGCCAGCGCTGAACACCAACCTCCTCCATTCAATCTCCATCTCTATTCATCCGTCTCCATCTCCACAACTTCGACCTCCGTCCGTATCTCTACCTATCATCTAAATCCCACCATCTTGTACGCACACGCGCACGCGCACGCGATCGCCTCCAGCCGCCGGCCGTCAGCTGCTGAACCGCCCCTCTCTTACTGCCTGGCGCCTAGCTCCAGTACGCCATCCTCACAGCAAGGCCTTTGACACGTCGGGTCGAACTCGCGATCTACGCGTTTTCGATGCGCGTATCTTCGGGGCGATACTCAAGCAAGGCACAGGCAGTACGGGAAAGGTGGGCTTAGTGGTCCACGATCTGGCGGGTGTTGGTGCACCAGAGTTAGGGCTGCTCTTTGCGACCGACGCGAAAGCCCGGGTGGGTGGGTTTCTTTTGCCGCTGCATATCGCCTGCTTCGTTGCAAAAGGGTCATGTAGTGTTAAGTAAACTTCCACTATAAAGGGAACTAATGAACAATGGTCCTTAGTCTCGTTCGCAAGGAAGGCGTGGCCGCATTGGCATATTCTGCAAATGATGTATCTGTGCTGTGGCCGTGTTCTCTAAAGATCCTGCATTCGGACGCGCAGTTCGTGGTGTCGCTCGAACATTCTTATTCAATTCATGGCTTTGACGACAAGCAACTCTTTACCCTTCGCTATGAAGGTGACAATCTTATGCCTGGCAAGACCTCACTTGGAGATGTTGATATTTCCCTCCCGGATGGGTCGTTGCACGACATCGCAAGGCATGGGCAACCCCGGCTGCGAACGCTGTCGCTGACACTCAAAACACCCTGTTCTGTATGGTGCCCTCACAGTTTTGGCAATGGGATGTCCAGCCTCGAAACTAGTTTCCACAAGCTCTCAGCATTGGCGAGGGAGACAGATGTGCGCATTGTGTTCGACACTAATTGGCTTGGGAAGAAAAACCTTGCCAGGCTTCAGAGTGCTGTCGAGGCTTCCCATCAACTCGCTGGAGTCCCGGTCATCCCGCAGTTCGCCCGTTTGTATCAGCAGGCAGACTGGTCAATTCTCAGCTCTATCCAGGGTGCCAAACCTGGACCTCATCGTACCACTGCAGACTTGACGTCTAAAGCTGTACCTTCAATTGAGGACGCGGTAGCTGGAGTCCCTCCTTTCGAAGACGCGATATATGACGCCCCGCCTTCGTATGCGCAAGTGTCGAACAAGCGCTCGAGAAATAGTAAGCCTTCTAGTCGGACACAGCACCAACACATTGCTGACGCACACCCTCTAGCTCGCACTAGCTTGACACCTGACTCTCCTCCACCGAAGCGCCTCCTCCAAGATTCCACATGCGTGCCGTCGCCAACAGAACGCGCCTCTTCCCCACCGTCACCTAGCTTAAAATCCACACCTTCGTCCACCGCCACCGTGCAAGTGGACATCTTCCAAGACATTGTCACATCCGCTGTCCAGAAAGTGCTTCCGGACTTGCTGCGCGAACAACTTCCCAGCATTCTGCAAGACTTTCTTCCAGGCATGCTTGCCGATCCCTCACCGTCGCCTTCTTTGTCGCCGACACCACGGTCAAGCCAGTGTACGGACACGCTCGCACAACATCGTCGAACTTCGAACAAGAAACCCACGCCGGCGGCAGTCATCCGAACTGTCATAAGCACTGCTACCAAGACCCACCTCCAAAGATTCTTGACTGATGCCCTCGATCAAGCCTACGAGCAAGTCTCCGAGCTTCATAACTCAGCTAGCGTCGAGTTCGAGGAACACCTTGATGACACGAGGCTTGATTTTGCTATGCTCAAGGAGGATCATATCGCCGCCTTCAATGAGGATTGCAATGAGAAGTTGGTGGAGTTCAAGGAGCGCCTAGTCGAGGGGAAAGATGAGGCAGAAGTGGATGTGAAGGCGCACGCCGACGAGATAGTGGTCAAGACTTGGGATAGGTTGAGCATGATGGATAAGAGGTGGTGTAGTCATCAATGTCCACACAGTACGAAGGACAAGGGTAGTAAGTTGGAACAAAGGCGGAGGGCGATATCTCTGCCTCCTTAACAGTGGAGAGACTACAGACACTCCCGAACTAGGAATCTCTTAAGCACAATTTGTACTTGCATCCCTCGTTAGAAATTAGCGACGTCAATTACAGGGAAGACGAAGATGTCAAAGCACTTTAATCGTATATTTGTCTCCATTCACCCGTCTGGGCGAGACAAGGAAAGCACTACGTCAAAATCTTTTATCATATACGTTGTATTGGGTGTTCGACATAACGTAAGAAGAAGAAGAAGAAGAAGAAGAAGAAGAAGAAGAAGATTAAAATCTAAATTACGCGAGTTTATGCTATAGCATTGAAGCAGAACACATTATAGTTTTCTACAAGAGCACCGTTGTGGAGATTACATTGGCTACAACGCACACCCAATATCATAAAACCTGTATGACACGCTCGTTGCCGCACCATCAGCATCGCTAGTCCATTGAACCTGGGCGACAGAGAAAGGATACAGTTCACAGTTTGGACCTTGGACCCCGAAGCTGCGGCAGGTACCCAGGCTGCGGCAGAAGTTTTTGCAGAGAGCGGGGTCGAATGGGGCGCCGCTCCCCATGCGGATGGTTCGCTGGGGTGTCATGGCGCTTCGTCTGAGGTTGGTGGCTCCGCAGACAACGGACGGCGTCGGGACGGGGGTAGGTGTGGGAGTCGGGGTTGGGCTTGGGGTTGGAGTGACATCGACAGCAGATGGCGACGGAGAAGGCGATGGAGATGGAGAGGGCGATGGAGATGGAGAGGGCGATGGAGATGGCGACGGAGAGGGCGATGGAGATGGAGAGGGCGATGGCGATGGCGAAAGGTTGGGACTGGTGATTTCATACGAGCCAGCGTTGATTACCTTGTACTCATCGTCGCCGGCATAGTAGCCAGTGTTGACGGCATAGCTAGGGTCCCAGGAGCGTGTGTAGAAGGCGCAGTAAGTGCCAAGGGGGACGCCATTCTGAGTCAGGATATAGGTGGTGAAGAAGTTGCAAGGCTTGTAAGTGCCATCAGAGTCGGGATGTGCCATGTCGTATTCCGTTTGGGCTTTGCATGCAGCAGCACAGAGTGTAGGGTCGAATGGGTTATCGTTGAAAAGGCGCATGCCGTTGTAGGTATCAAAGCCGTTATCGAGAGGCGCGTTGATAGCTGCTGGTAGACTAGTCGGAGCCTTGAAGTCATCCACGTTTGGCAGACCTTTGTTGGTTTTGGTATAACCGTTGCTACCGGCAATCACGACTTGAAAGTCTTGACGCCACTGGCCCATATTCGTGGCAGCCTTGGCTGCGACAGGATAACCGTAGAGAGAGCATTTGATGTTGTTCGTGGAAGGGGGGTTAGGGCAATTAGGTCCAGGCTCAAGAGATGGGTCGCGTTCGAAGTAGATATTGAAGCCAAGGCAGTACTTCTCGCCGTCGCAGGCATCAGCACAGCCCTGGACATCGTATGTCTGGTAAATCTTGTAGGTTAGGTAGCCAATCTGTTGGGAGCTTCCGCTCTCGTCTACAAATGACTGCTTGTAACCAGACGGAGTCCCAGCATTTCGAGCGATCTCACTCAACTCAGTAGCCGAGGAGAATGCCGTGGCAGTGTCAGGTGAGATAGTAGGGCCGTTGCTTTGAAACAGTCAGATAAACGCCATCCAATTTTCGTAAGCTCCTTACCCAAGAGGCTGTGTATCACAAGCATCACGCTTCCCCACCGTTAGGCTATCACGCTTCTGGATGACACCCTCGCTCTCAACGACAGCAGCAACAGCAGAAGCAGCGGCAATGGGGTTGTAAGTAGGCTCAGCAGGCTTTGTGTCCTCGATCTTGGGTCCCAAGATCGAGGGAGTAGGAACAGCCAAGGCAGCGTCAATGTTGATTCTCTGAGGAAGGGCGGCAGCAAGGCCAAGAAGGGTGGAGGCGGCGAAGGAGTAACGCATTTTTGAGTTGGCGACCCCAGATATTAATAAATGTAAAGAACAGGTTGTTGGTGATCTCTTCCCTACGGCGGTAGTGGGACTTATATAACTTCTTTCCTCTTGTCGAGCTGGTTTGGATGCGGGATGGCGCCGCCATGCCCGAGTGGTAGTTACAGGTCTAACCTGTCGGTCCTTGCGACCAGTATTGCTGAATCCGCGATGCGTACGCCATGGCGGTCGAGGGCGCACTCTGTTCAGCTGAGATGAGAAGCTAACAATGCAAAAATGTTGGTCTAGAAACACGGGGAGAGCGACGGCAGAGCGACTACACTGATATGGATAACCAAGACAACGATGCCTGTGCTGGGGACTGACAGCGTGTAGCCAAAGCGCATGAATCGTGCAGGCCGAAGCGAAGCTATGCCATGCACGTGAGTCTGACTTGACTAAAGAAGGTAGTTTCCCATCAGCCTCACAATGTGCACACTATTTTCGCTTCGGCCCATCGAGCAGTCTCGAACACTGGCGTATCGCGAGGTGCAAATTGCCGCATGAAGCTGAAAGCTAATCATCGCTTCGGGCTAGATCGCGTACGCTTAGCCCCATTAGGAAGACACTATCGATAATTGCCGATACACGTGTGCGCCAGCATTCGCGATGCAAGCCACATAAACTGACTGGGGACATGAGGCTCAACGCTAACAGCTGTGCCCCTGAATTGGCTTGTACGCCGGCCATGTTTCCATCGTGGTACCATCACCAGTACTGCCTGTGGAAGATCAGCACGCCTACCGAACATATACACAGAAATTGAGAGGTGCATGAACCGGAGGAGCACCGCACTGAAGTTCATTGCAGCATGCTCGTGATCGACGGTGCTTGTCACGCTCCGCTGCATCCCGCCTGTCAACGTTGTGACCAAAGCCTGTAGGCATTGACGACCACATGAAATGCGGCTAACAGAAGCAGACTGATTTTGTGCAAGTCGCTTGCATGAGCAGAGTATATGTTCCATTATCCGATGCCTCAATCACTGCGAGTCCCCAATGACAAAGATGGTTGACCTGGCGCTCGACCAACCCGATATGATTCCGGTCTATGAACGTCGCGCGACGCACAAGGCGACTGTACCACACCTGTAATATCGGGACGCCTAAATCTCTCCGTAGCTGTACGCAGACCTTCTGGTTATATACCTTCCCTGTCTATTGTTCGGTTCGTGGCAATGATGAGTAGCGACGGCCTTCGTCGTGGAATGGCGAGCGCGGTATGGGGCGGTCCGGAGTCTTTGAAGACAGGGAGCGACGCTGGGAGGCTATCGAAGTGTGAAGCGGGCTCCGTATAGGGGATGCGTGTTATATCGCATCGCGAATGGTTGCGATGGAGCATGTTGCGAGGTTCCTGACTGCGACGATTTCCGATGCGCGTAGTGGTGCCGGAGAAATCGCAGCTGGTCGTATTTCCAGCCTGGGTCGCAAGTCCTTTGCCCCGCACCCCGGCCCGCATCTCTCACCACCACTAAAATCCACACCATGACTGAGAATCGCAATGTCGATCTAGCGTTGTTGGCGCGTGCGCTTTGATCGAGAAATCACTGTGTTTATGCCTCAATGTGCGTGCCATTACCTTGTCGTTTATTCTGCGGCGCGTTTGTAACAGATTCGGACTACTAAGAGATGACAGGTCGAGATGCACCTAAGCTAGGCGCCCTAGTTTGCGGCCACCCCTAGTTTGCGGCCACCGTGCGCGAAGGCGCGCCCTCCGCTCAACACGCGATAACTCAACAACAGCGCTTATATTTGAAACTGTGTACACATAGATGC